GTTAAGTGAGCCCCCCTAACTCAGCCCTTGCCAAATATATTGCCATGTGAATTGTTGCCGGGAAAAGAGTGAGCGTTTATGTCGAAATAACAGTTTATCAGCGATGGTTTATGCCCGAGCCTGAATCACCGGTGAAGAAAATGGCCTCCGACCATGGCTGAAGAGCAGAGGTATTGATGTGTCTGCCCCTAGTTACCAGGGGGTCCCTAGTTACCGGGGGCATGGGGTCCCTAGTTACCGGGGGTTCTCTGGTCCCTAGTTACCGGGGGTTCTCTGGTCCCTAGTTACCGGGGGTTCTCTGGTCCCTAGTTACAGGGGGTTCTCTGGTCCCTAGTTACCGGGGGCAGGGGGTCCCTGGATACCGGGGGCTCCCTGGTCCCTGGTTACCGGGGTCAGGGGGTCCCTAGTTACCAGGGGCTCCATAGTTACCAGGGGTTCTCTGGTCCCTGGTTACCGGGGGCTCTCTGGTCCCTAGTCACCGGGGGCTCTCTGGTCCCTGGTTACCGGGGGCTCTCTGGTCCCTAGTTACCGGGGGCTCCCTGGTCCCTGGTTACCGGGGGCTCCCTGGTTACCGGGGGCTCTCTGGTCCCTGGTTACCGGGGGCTCCCTGGTCCCTAGTTACCGGGGGCTCCCTGGTCCCTGGTTACCGGGGGCTCTCTGGTCCCTAGTTACCGGGGCATGGGGTCCCTAGTTACCGGGGGTTCTCTGGTCCCTGGTTACCGGGGGCTCTCTGGTCCCTAGTTACCAGGGGGTCCCTAGTTACCGGGGGCATGGGGTCCCTAGTTACCGGGGGTTCTCTGGTCCCTAGTTACCGGGGGCAGGGGGTCCCTGGATACCGGGGGCTCCCTGGTCCCTGGTTACCGGGGGTTCTCTGGTCCCTAGTTACCGGGGGCAGGGGGTCCCTAGTTACCGGGGGTTCTCTGGTCCCTAGTTACCGGGGGTTCTCTGGTCCCTAGTTACCGGGGGTTCTCTGGTCCCTAGTTACCGGGGGTTCTCTGGTCCCTAGTTACCGGGGGCAGGGGGTCCCTAGTTACCGGGGGCTCCCTGGTCCCTGGTTACCGGGGGTTCTCTGGTCCCTAGTTACCGGGGGCAGGGGGTCCCTAGTTACCAGGGGGTCCTCTGGTCCCTAGTTACCGGGGGTTCTCTGGTCCCTAGTTACCGGGGGCATGGGGTCCCTAGTTACCGGGGGTTCTCTGGTCCCTAGTTACCGGGGGTTCTCTGGTCCCTAGTTACCAGGGTCAGGGGGTCCCTAGTTACCGGGGGTTCTCTGGTCCCTAGTTACCGGGGGCAGGGGTCCCTAGTTACCGGGGGTTCTCTGGTCCCTAGTTACCGGGGTCAGGGGGTCCCTAGTTACCAGGGGCTCCATAGTTACCAGGGGTTCTCTGGTCCCTAGTTACCAGGGGCTCCATAGTTACCAGGGGTTCTCTGGTCCCTAGTTACCAGGGGCTCCATAGTTACCAGGGGTTCTCTGGTCCCTGGTTACCGGGGGCTCTCTGGTCCCTAGTTACCGGGGGCTCCCTGGTCCCTAGTTACCGGGGGCTCTCTGGTCCCTAGTTACCGGGGGCTCCCTGGTCCCTAGTTACCGGGGGCTCTCTGGTCCCTAGTTACCGGGGGCTCCCTGGTCCCTGGTTACCGGGGGCTCTCTGGTCCCTGGTTACCGGGGGCTCTCTGGTCCCTAGTTACCGGGGGCTCTCTGGTCCCTAGTTAAAGGGGGCTCCCTGGTCCCTGGTTACCGGGGGCTCCCTGGTCCCTGGTTACCGGGGGCTCCCTGGTCCCTGGTTACCGGGGGCTCCCTGGTCCCTGGTTACCGGGGGGCAGGTAACTAGGTCACTGCTGCTGATTTCGGGGCGTAGTGTCCCCGCGGCCCGGTCCTCGACCAGGCCTCCACCCCCAGGAAGCAGCCCGTGACAGCTGACTAACACCCAGGTACCTATTTACTGCTAGGTAAACAGGACCATCAGGGTGTTAGAAACTCATTGCCCCATTTGTCTCCGCCTCCACCGGGGATCGAACCCGGAACCTCAGGACTACGACTCCGAAGCGCTGTCCACTCAGCTGTCTTAACAACCTGTTGTGGATCCAAGGTTGTAAAGTTTTCTCGAATCATTGAAATGCTTTATTTATGCCCCTTGATCAATGAGCCTGTGATGGGCAGCGTTTTTGGTTGGCTTGTTACAACCACCACAGTCACGCCCCTGAGGGTAGTTGGGTTGTTACGACCACCACAGTCACGCCCCTGAGGGTAGTTGGGTTGTTACGACCACCACAGTCACGCCCCTGAGGGTAGTTGGGTTGTTACAACCACCACAGTCACGCCCCTGAGGGTAGTTGGGTTGTTACAACCACCACAGTCACGCCCCTGAGGGTAGTTGGGTTGTTACAACCACCACAGTCACGCCCCTGAGGGTAGTTGGGTTGTTACAACCACCACAGTCGCGCCCCTCAGGGTAGTTGGGTTGTTACAACCACCACAGTCGCGCCCCTGAGGGTAGTTGGGTTGTTACAACCACCACAGTCACGCCCCTGAGGGTAGTTGGGTTGTTACAACCACCACAGTCACGCCCCTGAGGGTAGTTGGGTTGTTACAACCACCACAGTCGCGCCCCTCAGGGTAGTTGGGTTGTTACAACCACCACAGTCGCGCCCCTGAGGGTAGTTGGGTTGTTACAACCACCACAGTCACGCCCCTGAGGGTAGTTGGGTTGTTACAACCACCACAGTCGCGCCCCTCAGGGTAGTTGGGTTGTTACAACCACCACAGTCGCGCCCCTGAGGGTAGTTGGGTTGTTACAACCACCACAGTCACGCCCCTGAGGGTAGTTGGGTTGTTACAACCACCACAGTCGCGCCCCTGAGGGTAGTTGGGTTGTTACAACCACCACAGTCGCGCCCCTGAGGGTAGTTGGGTTGTTACAACCACCACAGTCGCGCCCCTGAGGGTAGTTGGGTTGTTACAACCACCACAGTCGCGCCCCTGACGGTAGTTGGGTTGTTACAACCACCACAGTCGCGCCCCTGAGGGTAGTTGGGTTGTTACAACCACCACAGTCACGCCCCTGAGAGGAGTTGGGTTGTTACAACCACCACAGTCGCGCCCCTCAGGGTAGTTGGGTTGTTACAACCACCACAGTCGCGCCCCTGAGGGTAGTTGGGTTGTTACAACCACCACAGTCACGCCCCTGAGGGGAGTTGGGTTGTTACAACCACCACAGTCACGCCCCTGAGGGTAGTTGGGTTGTTACAACCACCACAGTCGCGCCCCTGAGGGTAGTTGGGTTGTTACAACCACCACAGTCGCGCCCCTGAGAGGAGTTGGGTTGTTACAACCACCACAGTCGCGCCCCTGAGAGGAGTTGGGTTGTTACAACCACCACAGTCACGCCCCTGAGGGTAGTTGGGTTGTTACAACCACCACAGTCGCGCCCCTGAGGGTAGTTGGGTTGTTACAACCACCACAGTCGCGCCCCTGAGGGTAGTTGGGTTGTTACAACCACCACAGTCGCGCCCCTGAGGGTAGTTGGGTTGTTACAACCACCACAGTCGCGCCCCTGAGGGTAGTTGGGTTGTTACAACCACCACAGTCGCGCCCCTGAGGGTAGTTGGGTTGTTACAACCACCACAGTCACGCCCCTGAGGGTAGTTGGGTTGTTACAACCACCACAGTCGCGCCCCTGAGGGTAGTTGGGTTGTTACAACCACCACAGTCACGCCCCTGAGGGTAGTTGGGTTGTTACAACCACCACAGTCACGCCCCTCAGGGTAGTTTTGGGTTGTTTGGTCACCCTCGAATTCTCTCGTCAACCCAATTTTCTAATGTTAACATTCCATTATGTAATCACGTGTTGAAATGAATGTTAAACGCTCCAATATGGTCCTGAAGGAAGCCAAGCTTGACCTACGGGCTCACCATAGCCCGTGCTACTTGGAACTTCCAGGTAGCACGGGCTCACCATAGCCCGTGCTACGTGGAACTTCCAGGTAGCACGGGCTCACCATAGCCCGTGCTACTTGGAACTTCCAGGTAGCACGGGCTCACCATAGCCCGTGCTACCTGGAACTTCCAGGTAGCACGGGCTCACCATAGCCCGTGCTACGTGGAACTTCCAGGTAGCACGGGCTCACCATAGCCCGTGCTACGTGGAACTTCCAGGTAGCACGGGCTCACCATAGCCCGTGCTACGTGGAACTTCCAGGTAGCACGGGCTCACCATAGCCCGTGCTACGTGGAACTTCCAGGTAGCACGGGCTCACCATAGCCCGTGCTACTTGGAACTTCCAGGTAGCACGGGCTCACCATAGCCCGTGCTACCTGGAACTTCCAGGTAGCACGGGCTCACCATAGCCCGTGCTACGTGGAACTTCCAGGTAGCACGGGCTCACCATAGCCCGTGCTACGTGGAACTTCCAGGTAGCACGGGCTCACCATAGCCCGTGCTACGTGGAACTTCCAGGTAGCACGGGCTCACCATAGCCCGTGCTACTTGGAACTTCCAGGTAGCACGGGCTCACCATAGCCCGTGCTACGTGGAACTTCCAGGTAGCACGGGCTCACCATAGCCCGTGCTACTTGGAACTTCCAGGTAGCTAACCATTAACAACAACCAGGCTTTATAATATGCTAAACACGAGCTTTTCAACTTATCACCCGCTATGATAATATCCAAATTTCTGTTGCTAAAAATAATTGCAAGAATTAGCAGTGAAAACCAGCTCATTCGTATTCATGTATATTCATTTAATTAATTTCTATATACATGAACACAAAAATATTAGAGCCGCAAAAAATCCATTTTTGTTGAGATAATGAGTTGTGGATTTGTGGCAGCTGAGGTGATGAGGATGGCAGCGTGGCGGCGCCCAGGATGGCAGCGTGGCGGTGCCCAGGATGGCAGCGTGGCGGCGCCCAGGATGGCAGCGTGGCGGCGCCCAGGATGGCAGCGTGGCGGCGCCCAGGATGGCAGCGTGGCGGCGCCTAGGATGGCAGCGTGGCGGCGCCTAGGATGCCAGCGTGGCGGTGCCCAGGATGGCAGCGTGGAGGCGCCCAGGATGGCAGCGTGGCGGCGCCCAGGATGGCAGCGTGGCGGCGCCCAGGATGGCAGCGTGGCGGCGCCCAGGATGGCAGCGTGGCGGCGCCCAGGATGGCAGCGTGGCGGCGCCCAGGATGGCAGCGTGGCGGCGCCCAGGATGGCAGCGTGGCGGCGCCCAGGATGGCAGCGTGGCGGCGCCCAGGATGGCACCGTAGCGGTGCCCAGGATGGCAGCGTGGCGGTGCCCAGGATGGCAGCGTGGCGGTGCCCAGGGTGGCAGCGTGGCGGTGCCCAGGATGGCAGCGTGGCGGTGCCCATGATGGCAGCGTGGCGGTGCCTAGGATGGCAGCGTGGCGGCGCCCAGGATGGCAGCGGGGGCGGTGCCCAGGATGGCAGCGTGGGCGGTGCCCAGGATGGCAGCGTGGCGGCGCCCAGGATGGCAGCGTAGCGGTGCCCAGGATGGCAGCGTGGCGGTGCCCAGGATGGCAGCGTGGCGGTGCCCAGGGTGGCAGCGTGGCGGTGCCCAGGATGGCAGCGTGGCGGTGCCCATGATGGCAGCGTGGCGGTGCCTAGGATGGCAGCGTGGCGGCGCCCAGGATGGCAGCGTGGCGGTGCCCAGGATGGCAGCGTGGCGGCGCCCAGGATGGCAGCGTGGCGGCGCCCAGGATGGCAGGGGGTGGTGCCCAGGATGGCAGCGTGGGTGGTGCCCAGGATGGCAGCGTGGGTGGTGCCCAGGATGGCAGCGTGGGTGGTGCCCAGGATGGCAGGGGGTGGTGCCCAGGATGGCAGGGGGTGGTGCCCAGGATGGCAGCGTGGCGGTGCCCAGGATGGCAGCGTGGCGGTGCCCAGGATGGCAGCGGGGGCGGTGCCCAGGATGGCAGCGTGGGCGGTGCCCAGGATGGCAGCGTGGCGGCGTCCAGGATGGCAGCGTGGCGGTGCCCAGGATGGCAGCGGGGCGGCGCCCAGGATGGCAGCGTGGCGGCGTCCAGGATGGCAGCGTGGGCGGTGCCCAGGATGGCAGCGTGGGCGGTGCCCAGGATGGCAGCGTGGCGGCGTCTAGGATGGCAGCGTGGGCGGTGCCCAGGATGGCAGCGTGGCGGCGTCCAGGATGGCAGCGTGGGCGGCGCCCAGGATGGCAGCGTGGCGGTGCCCAGGATGGCAGCGTGGCGGTGCCCAGGATGGCAGCGTGGCGGTGCCCAGGATGGCAGCGTGGCGGCGTCTAGGATGGCAGCGTGGCGGCGTCCAGGATGGCAGCGTGGCGGTGCCCAGGATGGCAGCGTGGCGGTGCCCAGGATGGCAGCGTGGGCGGTGCCCAGGATGGCAGCGTGGCGGCGTCTAGGATGGCAGCGTGGGCGGTGCCCAGGATGGCAGCGTGGCGGTGCCCAGGATGGCAGCGTGGGCGGCGCCCAGGATGGCAGCGTGGCGGTGCCCAGGATGGCAGCGTGGCGGTGCCCAGGATGGCAGCGTGGCGGCGTCCAGGATGGCAGCGTGGCGGCGTCCAGGATGGCAGCGTGGCGGTGCCCAGGATGGCAGCGTGGCGGTGCCCAGGATGGCAGCGTGGGCGGTGCCCAGGATGGCAGCGTGGCGGTGCCCAGGATGGCAGCGTGGGCGGCGCCCAGGATGGCAGCGTGGCGGCGTCCAGGATGGCAGCGTGGGCGGCGTCCAGGATGGCAGCGTGGGCGGCGTCCAGGATGGCAGCGTGGCGGCGTCCAGGATGGCAGCGTGGGGGTGCCCAGGATGGCAGCGTGGCGGTGCCCAGGATGGCAGCGTGGCGGCGTCCAGGATGGCAGCGTGGCGGCGTCCAGGATGGCAGCGTGGCGGTGCCCAGGATGGCAGCGTGGCGGTGCCCAGGATGGCAGCGTGGCGGTGCCCAGGATGGCAGCGTGGCGGTGCCCAGGATGGCAGCGTGGCGGTGCCCAGGATGGCAGCGTGGCGGTGCCCAGGATGGCAGGGGGTGGTGCCCAGGATGGCAGCGTGGCGGTGCCCAGGATGGCAGCGTGGCGGCGCCCAGGATGGCAGCGTGGCGGTGCCCAGGATGGCAGGGGGCGGTGCCCAGGATGGCAGCGTGGCGGTGCCCAGGATGGCAGCGTGGCGGTGCCCAGGATGGCAGGGGGTGGTGCCCAGGATGGTAGCGTGGCGGTGCCCAGGATGGCAGCGTGGCGGCGCCCAGGATGGCAGCGTGGCGGTGCCCAGGATGGCAGCGTGGCGGCGCCCAGGATGGCAGCGTGGCGGTGCCCAGGATGGCAGGGGGTGGTGCCCAGGATGGCAGCGTGGCGGTGCCCAGGATGGCAGCGTGGCGGTGCCCAGGATGGCAGCGTGGCGGCGTCCAGGATGGCAGCGTGGCGGTGCCCAGGATGGCAGCGTGGCGGTGCCCAGGATGGCAGCGTGGCGGTGCCCAGGATGGCAGCATGGCGGTGCCCAGGATGGGAGCGTGGCGGCGCCCAGGATGGCAGCGTGGCGGTGCCCAGGATGGCAGCGTGGCGGCGCCCAGGATGGCAGCGTGGCGGCGCCCAGGATGGCAGCGTGGCGGTGCCCAGGATGGCAGCGTGGCGGCGCCCAGGATGGCAGCGTGGCGGTGCCCAGGATGGCAGGGGGTGGTGCCCAGGATGGCAGCGTGGCGGTGCCCAGGATGGCAGCGTGGCGGTGCCCAGGATGGCAGCGTGGCGGTGCCCAGGATGGCAGCGAGGCGGCGCCCAGGATGGCAGCGTGGCGGCGCCCATCTCGCCCCCACCCGCCGCCCATTTTATTAAATTGGCCTATTTAATAAGTGCATATGTGACATACTAATTGATTGTGAATATTTTAGTTTACCTTGAAAAGCTTCATAGTAAACACCGACCTCACTTAACCTTCTTAGTATGTTAAGATAAGCATCTTATTGCTTTCTAAACATACTAAGAAGGTTAGGTGAGGTCGGTGTTTTCTATGAAGCTTTTCAAGGTAAACTAAAATATTCACAATTAGTATGTCACATATGCACTTATTAAATAAGCCAATATTGACATAAAGCAAGTGCGAGAACGGGTTTCAGGGTAGCCAGGTATTGTTTATCTTACGATCGGCTAATCATTCAAGCCATACCCATCCCGTGGGCGGTGGTGGACCCCATACCCATCCCGTGGGCGGTGGTGGACCCCATACCCATCCCGTGGGTGGTAGTGGACCCCATACCCATCCTGTGGGTGGTAGTGGACCACCATACCCATCCCGTGGGCGGTAGTGGACCCCATACCCATCCTGTGGGTGGTAGTGGACCACCATACCCATCCCGTGGGCGGTGGTGGACCCCATACCCATCCCGTGGGCGGTGGTGGACCACCATACCCATCCCGTGGGCGGTGGTGGACTCCATACCCATCCCGTGGGCGGTGGTGGACCCCATACCCATCCCGTGGGTGGTGGTGGACCCCATACCCATCCCGTGGGCGGTAGTGGATCCCATAACCTAACCTATTTATAATTTGAAACTATGTATGGAGTCAGCCTCCACCACATCACTGCCTAATGCATTCCATGGGTGAGTGAGCGAGCGAGCGAGGGAGAGTGAGAGTGAGGGAGAGAGAGAGAGGGAGAGGGAGAGAGGGAGAGGGAGAGAAGGAGAGAAGGAGAGAGAGAGAGAGAGAGTGAGAGAGAGTGAGAGGGAGAGAGTGAGAGAGAGTGAGAGGGAGAGAAGGAGAGAGAGGGGAGGAGTTTCCAACGCTAATTTATTAATGCAGCACTGCAGTTTGGTGCAGGACTGTGTACCTGCAGTTATCTCTTACCCATCCTTCACCCGCAGGATGGGTATAGGCTCCACTACCACCCACAGGATGGGTATGGGGTCCACTACCACCCACAGGATGGGTATGGGGTCCACTACCACCCACAGGATGGGTATGGTGGTCCACTACCACCCACAGGATGGGTATGGGGTCCACTACCACCCACAGGATGGGTATGGGGTCCACTACCACCCACAGGATGGGTATGGGGTCCACTACCACCCACAGGATGGGTATGGTGGTCCACTACCACCCACAGGATGGGTATGGGGTCCACTACCACCCACAGGATGGGTATGGTGGTCCACTACCACCCACAGGATGGGTATGGGGTCCACTACCACCCACAGGATGGGTATGGGGTCCACTACCACCCACAGGATGGGTATGGGGTCCACTACCACCCACAGGATGGGTATGGTGGTCCACTACCACCCACAGGATGGGTATGGGGTCCACTACCACCCACAGGATGGGTATGGGGTCCACTACCACCCACAGGATGGGTATAGGGTCCACTACCACCCACAGGATGGGTATGGGCTCCACTACCACCCACAGGATGGGTATGGGGTCCACTACCACCCACAGGATGGGTATAGGCTCCACTACCACCCACAGGATGGGTATAGGGTCCACTACCACCCACAGGATGGGTATAGGGTCCACTACCACCCACAGGATGGGTATAGGGTCCACTACCACCCACAGGATGGGTATAGGGTCCACTACCACCCACAGGATGGGTATAGGCTCCACTACCACCCACAGGATGGGTATGGGGTCCACTACCACCCACAGGATGGGTATGGGGTCCACTACCACCCACAGGATGGGTATGGGGTCCACTACCGCCCACAGGATGGGTATAGGGTCCACTACCACCCACAGGATGGGTATAGGCTCCACTACCACCCACAGGATGGGTATAGGGTCCACTACCACCCACAGGATGGGTATAGGGTCCACTACCACCCACAGGATGGGTATAGGCTCCACTACCACCCACAGGATGGGTATAGGCTCCACTACCACCCACAGGATGGGTATAGGGGTCCACTACCACCCACAGGATGGGTATGGGGTTCACTACCACCCACAGGATGGGTATGGGGTCCACTACCACCCACAGGATGGGTATAGGGTCCACTACCACCCACAGGATGGGTATGGGGTCCACTACCACCCACAGGATGGGTATAGGGGTCCACTACCACCCACAGGATGGGTATAGGGGTCCACTACCACCCACAGGATGGGTATAGGGGCCACTACCACCCACAGGATGGGTATAGGGTCCACTACCACCCACAGGATGGGTATAGGGTCCACTACCACCCACAGGATGGGTATAGGGTCCACTACCACCCACAGGATGGGTATAGGGTCCACTACCACCCACAGGATGGGTATAGGGTCCACTACCACCCACAGGATGGGTATAGGGTCCACTACCACCCACAGGATGGGTATAGGGTCCACTACCACCCACAGGATGGGTATAGGGTCCACTACCACCCACAGGATGGGTATAGGGTCCACTACCACCCACAGGATGGGTATAGGGTCCACTACCACCCACAGGATGGGTATAGGGTCCACTACCACCCACAGGATGGGTATGGGGTCCACTACCACCCACAGGATGGGTATAGGCTCCACTACCACCCACAGGATGGGTATAGGC